TTAATTCTCTTCACTTTGGCCAAAATTCTCTTCCACTATATCTCATGCAGTCTTATCAAATTAAAGCTCAGTAATGATTATGGATATATATATATGGATCTATATCTATATCTATCTATCTATCTATCTATCTATCTATCTATCTATCTATCTCCTTCCTTCTTTCCAGTCTCCTTTCTGTAACCCCAGGTATTTTTTCCATTTGAGCAGTTTCTTTAGTTTTTCACCTCCTATACATTGTCTTTACATAGTTGAGGTACATTCCATCTGTACCTAACATTTTGGGCATTATTATCTTGAGGTGTTGTTGACGTTTTGAAGAGTCTTTTTTGCATCTATTGAGATGATAATACAGGTCTAGTCCTTCATTTTGTTGATATGATACACAATTTCTGATTTTTTCATCATCCTGTCCACAACAGAATACTCTTTATTATGAGAATGAAACCAATGAAAATCAAAATACACCAGCAATTTCAAACTTTACTGCAGATCAGGTATGACTGGTCTCCCGAGGAGAGGGCTCACATAAGTTGGCCAGCTGTGTAAGACCTTTCTGTCCCCTGGACCATGCTGGGCCACAAGCCCTAAGCTGTGCTGCTTCTCCTGCTCTGTGTCTTTGCAAGCAGGTCAAGACTCACTCTTCTGGCTGTGCAATACTGACTTATTTTTTCATTTTTAAAAAATCTTTTGTTTGTTTACATACTTGGTACAAGGTCTTACTAAACAGCTTGGACTCCTGGTGATCCTCTTGTCTAGGCCTCCTCAGTGCTGGCATTACAGGCATGTGCCATCACACCTGGTTTCTTTGGCTGGCATGGCATGCCTGGGGTTCCAGGGGTGACACAGCATGGTATGTGGTACCCAGGATTGAACCTAGGCTCCTGTGCTTGCTAGGCAGGCACTTAGACTGGTGACCTATCTCCCTGGCCTGTAATTTATTTAAAATCATCCACGTATTTCTAAAATGAATTCTACTTGATCGTGACAAATAATGTTTTCAAAGTATTGTTGCATTTAGTTTTCTACTATTTGGTTGAAGCCTTTTGCATATGTGCCCTCCAAAAATATTGAAAGTAGGGTTTTGTTGTTGTTGTTGTTGTTGATACTGGTATAGTTTTCTTCTTTTTGTGGATTTTGTTCCAGTACAATGCTGGCCCTCTAGAAAATGTAAGAAAGAATTTCTTTATCTTCTATTTTGTGGAGTAATTTAAAGAGATTTAGCAATGCTTGTTAGAGCATAGTAGGTAAGCTATCTGGTCTTGGGCTTTTCTTTGATGGGAGGAAGCTTTTTTGTATTATTATTTGTTACCAGTCTGTTCAGCTTTTCCAATTCTTCAAATCACATCTTGATATGTGTGCCAGTGAATCATGATTGTCAGCTAACCTGGATTAATAGGCTCCTGGAGAGGTTACTGGGTCATGGGGGTGCGATGCTCATCTGTGGAGCAAGCCCTGCAATGCTCACAGCTCTTTGTGCCCTTAGGAGAGAAGGCCCAGCTGGAGGCGGCGCACTAGGGCATAACCTCAGAGGGTGTGCCTCTCACTGACTCTCTCATCTGTGCTCTTCTTCCCGGGTGACCAGAAGTCAGCACTTGTGCCCCCCACACTCTTCCACCATTGTGATTTTCCCTTGCAGCCAGCCGCCATGGACTGAAATCTGAAGCCATGAATCAAAAATGCCCCCTTTCTGCCTTAAGTTGTTTGTGTGAGGCCATCTGCCCCAGCTATGGGAAAGCTATTGGTGAAGTAAAGTATAGGAGTCTAGGAATTTGTACATTTCCTTTAAGTTATCAAATTTTTGGACATGTAGCTCTTCATAGAATTCTGTAATGCCCATTCACCTTTCCACAGGGTCCACTGCAATGTCCAGCATTTCATCTAATTTTATTTGTTTGAAACTTTTGTCTCTTTTCCATAATCTAGGAACATGTTTTATGCTTTATATTGTCATTTTGAGTTATGAGCTTGCTGTTTTCCTAATCTTTTGCATTGGTTATTAGTCCTCATTTTATTTACTACTGATATTCATTATTTATTTACTCTTACTAATTATGGGTATCAGTTTCTTATTCTTTTTCTGTTTCCATGAGATGCAGTTGTTTATTTTATCTATCTATCTATCTATCTATCTATCTATCTATCTATCTATCTATCTATTTATTTATTTTTTGTGGAACCAGGGATTGAACTTAGGCCCTTGTTTATTCTACTGAGCTATCTCCCTGGCCCCTATTTTAGATCATTTTTTAATCTAGACATTGATTACTATAAGTTTACACTTTTGGGTCACATTTGCCCTTTCACAGAAGTTTTACTAATTTTTATTTCCTTAGTCATTTGTTTCAAGATGATATAAATTTGTTTATAGATTGATTCTTACATCTTTTGATTATTCCAATATAATTCATGTAATTTTCTTAAACTGCTTAGTGCTCAGTACTTATCTTTATTGATTTATAGTCTTACTGGATTGTGTTGAAAGAAGATTCTTGACATGATTTCAAGTAATTTTTTTGCATTTATTTATTTTTTTATTTTTTTCATAATTTTATTGATAAATAGCAATGAGACAGTTTCAAATCAAATCCCTAGGACAGTTTCAATAATTAACACACTGTATAAATTCTTCTTAGTGGTTAATTGCTATACAAGATGAGGGCTAGAGATTCTATTTACAAACACATTAGAACAAATCATTCTATTCATTAAGAGAATGTAACTATATATCTATCTTAACCACTTTGAATACACAGATACAAAATGGACATTCATCTGTATACCCTTTTTTTGTTAAGTTCCGCTACTTCAATATTATAGGTGTGTAAACTCAGCAAAATATTCTAAAAGAGTCCAGTAGCCCATAATAGCATT